TATTTGACAGAGAAAAAAAATGATAATTCAATTTCTAATAATATCACTGGTTGAATGATGCAAAGTTTAATCAGATTAAAAACTCATCAACGAATAGTAAGTTGATTAAGGATTTCCAATGAAAATCTATTGATTAATTAGCAGAATTTGCCAACTCTCATTAGACTTAGAAACATCACCCACCATTCTGATAATTACCTCAATTCTCTCGGTGAAGCAAAGACTGAATCTCAGACCTTTTCTTAGCATTTGAAAGTCAATTAAATTGTAAAGGTTGAAACTGTTGATTAACAGGTTACGGCAATGTAAACACAAATTAAAGTTATAATTAACATGAGATATTTACCTGTCAACAGCAATTGAACCAATTTAAGGTGGACCAAAATCATTCTCATGTCCAGTTAATTTTTCAGCCTCTTATTTACTCTGTTTGTTGTCATAATATTTCAATAGACTTGAGATTATTTTCGCCCGATGGTCAAATGATATGAAAAAGAAGATGGAAATTTATGATGATATTGTCAAAAGAGATGGAAAGATGGATATTAACACAGAACGAAACTTAATGTTCTTTGTCAATAAGTTTCTTCATCCTATTGACATGTAAAAGTGAAGAAAGAAGTTGAGGTGATTGAGAGGAACAGCAACAAGTTATTCAAATACTATTATCATGTTATCCATTGAGTATTTCTTATAATCTTCTCTATTATATTTCCTTTTCCTCTATTGCACGTGACTTGATTGTAACATGTTTGTTCAATTGAACTTATTAATTCTTAATGAAAACCTTCAAGTTAACACTTTTTTTTTCTTATGGCATTTGCAGCTTTTGTTGATTGTCATTAAACCATGAAAACAGTTACGACTTGTAATACATTTAATAAGTTAAACATACAGAAACCATCGGTATAATCTAATTTCCGGGTTATCTGGTTATCATGTTTATCACTCGAAATAAGCTCATCAAGAAACTTTATCGAATTGACATTTTTTTGTTTACATTTCGTTTGATCTTAATATCAACAAAATTGTATTCATATCACATATAAGGCAAGTTACCTGTAAATGTCTCGTACATTTGGTTGATACAATTGGTTCTGTTCAAATTGTAATCAACTTCTTGGCTCTTTGCGATCAAGAAAAAGCTATTCTGTCGTTTCTATTGTGATATGATAACAATTAATTTGAAGGAAATCAATTATCCCTCAATAAATGATACAGTTAAAGGAGAAACAAGATAATAGTAAATAATTAACTCTCATGAAAACAATATGTATCCTGTGAGGAAATGAATGTTAACCTAATTTATGTTTTTCTTTTCACTTTTGATTTTCTAGGTTTTTTTAATTGCAGTGATTTCCGTTGATTATTTGCTCAAAATTCACCATCTAATCATCTCAGTCAATCTCAATGTCTGTTAATTGATAACAATTACCAAGTTTACATTAAGTGTAAAACAATTGAAAGTTAAACCATAACATTTAAATTTCAGTTTCGTGCAAAAATTTTCACTTGATCTTGAAACTGCTCAATCTAATTAATTGAATGATTAAATTACGCCAATCAATGTAATATTAATCACCGAGAGCACTTGATTAGTATTAATAATTGATTGTTGATTAGAATGTAAGTTTTATAAGAGTTTTTTTGACACGAATACAAGAAATTAAATTACGATAAACTAAATTGGTTATTAATCTTAATTCTATTAGATTAGTTTGTAATAAAAAGATATGAATATTCAATTAAAACAAGATGAATGGCTGCTTAGTATGTCTATGAGTAGAAAAAGTGATGATAAAGGGATCGAAAGTAGGAGGAAGATAAGAGAAGGATGAGGAAGAGAAGGAGATGATATTGATGAAGAAAAAAAGTGTTCCAAATAAGATGATAAGAAGAAGAGAATTAACATGAAAAAGTAAAAAAGTTGATGATAAATGAGAAAAACATTCGATGGAATCATTGACGATGAACATGAAGATAAATATATTCGCATTATTATTTGTCTCATGGGGATTGGAATGAAAATATTTTTCATATCATTGAAGTTTCATGTATTCACGAATAAGATCAATCCGGAAACAGATTCAAGAACGATCAAAGTATCAGGTATAAAAATTCAATTCTCTACTCAGCATTCGTACCATTTCTCTTCTGAAAGCAGAATGAGAATTGAAGAGAAATGGAAAAGTAAAGTGAAAGTGAAGACTAAAGGAAAACATGAGATGATTCCAATTCAATGGATTATGTTGATTCTTGTTAACCCTTCGCTTACTTGTTAAATGTATCATTAGTAGTCTGTCTGATTGTTTGTTCGCCATAATTAGATACATAATATTGGATTTATACCTTTTGGGATATTCCAAGTATCTGTTATCATGTTATCATCTTATCATCTTAAGCTCGATTCCTGTCAATTGCTCATTGATAGTATTAGAGTATCACAACAATAAGATCCCATGTAAATGCTACAAGATAATTGATGAGCTAATGCACTGAATGAAAAGTTTATTGCTTAGTCTCAAGTCTTTTGCATTTACTTTTTCTGGTCAATTCTATTGGTAAATTAGCCTTACGATGCTAATTCCCACTCATCTCTCTAATCATCTTTATCCTCATCTCAATCTTCATCATTCTTTCTTATTTTGAAACTTTCGAATCAACTATAAATACTCTGGATGCACATTCGATCATATTATCAATTGATTCGTTTCACTTTTATCTCTCTCTCTCTCTCTCTCGCAGTCATTATTTTTCTCTCATTCATTAGATTATCTTGTTTTCTCTTTTAATTTATCTCTTTTATTTACTCTCATCAATTCTTTGTTTCATCTTCATCACACTCGCTCACAAATACAATCCAACCATCTTCTATCTTAATGGAAACAACTCAATTGTTTGACTCATCTCCATGATCCATTGATTATCAACACTTTATTATCAAGATAAACTGTTAATTTGCACAAATAATTAACTTCTTCTCGTTTTTTAAATGTGTCTTTTGCAATAATTTGATTGGTCACGATTGTGATTGAATTTATTCAGATTAAATTGATTAAATTGATCAATCTGATAGTAACTTGACTGTTTTTTACTTCTTCAACCATCTTAATATCATTATCATCATTAATACTCATTGTACTTGCATCATCAATAATGTATATTATCATTATCTCATCACCATAATCACACAGAACTACACAGAGTTAGATTGAAAATTTGATTGAAATTGATTGTTACCTGAATATTATTAGATTTTTTTTTCTTTTCTATAACTAAATGTGTGATTGAAATGATTGTGATGATCAAATTGAATTAGGATAAAGATGAAAAGTAAAAACTACAAACATATTTGTATTTACATTTGACTTTATCAACTTATCAGGAATGAATTGTGATCGGGAAAAGGTTATATCTAATTCTCAGCATGAATCTATCATGAGATTAGATTGAGCACAATAAAAGGTTAACGATAACGTCCTAATGATATTTTCTGTAAGCTTAATGGTTAGTATATTTCAATTTACGATCAGTGATTCACTTCCGCCATTTTAAATTATTATGGTTTCATGTTACTCGTAGATGGACAAAATAATCAAAAATTAAAGTTAAATTGATTATCAAATCAAAGTTTAACTAAAATTAAAGGTTAAAGTTACGGACCAATCAATTGATCGATTGATTAATTGTCTTAAAAGACTTTAGTTGAAATTGTCAATAGACTTGATTATTGATTCAGTCAATTGATTCAATTATTAATTAGTCGTCTGGTGTAAGTTCAATTTCCAATCATGTTTTCCCATGAACGAGGTTTTATAAAAGAATCAACCAGGCGATTAGATGGATTAATCCCCATGATATGAAAATGCTATTGAAATTGAAACTTGCATCAAATTTCAAGATAATCTCATGTTGATCTGATTCACTAATCCTTTTTAAACACATTACATGAACATGAGCATTAATCAAACTCAATGTTTTTCATTTGCTGAAAATTGATAAATCAGTGAGCCGATACAATAATTAATCAACTGTTCAGTTATTATTATAATAACATTGTAATTGAAATAACCTCATGAAAACATGGGCATTAATTTTGATTTAATTTCAATTATTCATTTTGTTTCCTCTTAATCAGACATCAGAACTACTTGTTCCTCCTCAATTATTTACTCACTTCTATTAATAGAAATTTCTGAAATCTATTTAATTCTGATAGTATCTTTAAATTAATCATCTAAATATTTAAAATGTTCAATGCTAATATATTAGTTTTAAATTCATCGATTCTATCTAAATTCATATTGTTTCATCTCCTGAAAATCAACAATTCTCATGCAGTAATCAGAAATTATTTGTAATTCTAAGGGATTAGAAAAAGATATCAGTTTATTCAATAAATTAGATTCTGTGTCAAGTTTGCCTTTTCTTCAAGTCAATGAAATGTCTCGAGTTAACTGAGACCGAGAGGTCAGAGGTTATCAGATTAAATCGCTATCGGTTTATTAAGTAATATATTTGATAACCTTTTCAAGTCTCGTCATGTGACTTGAATGATTAAAAGATTTGATTAAGTATCTGTCTCATTGTTTCATTTAATTTGATTTGTTTAGTTGAACAATCAGAGATATTTGAACATGTTAATCAAAATCTGTAAAGTGATTACTGTGTGAATATAGAGACTCTAAAATCAATTATCAACTGAATGGTCATCTTTATGGTCACACTAATTTGGTGAAACCTTTTAATGGACAATTGCAAACCTTGACCATTAATGGTCATCATAATAAAATCTATTGGCTTCAGTTGAATTGACATTATTGGTGCTAAAGTAATAATCATTATCTTCATGACAAAGGTCATCACAAGAGATGAGCTTTACAAGCAGTTTGAATGATCACAATTCTATGAAATCAACTAATACATGATATAAAATGAAAGAGAAAAATATAATCATCATCATCAACTAATTGTGTTATTGTTTTTATCTATTCTCACAGAATAACAAGTTAATCGAATCAAATCTGACCGGAACTTTTATATATCTTCTTGGTCAGAAAAACAGTCAACATTTTGCAAGAAAATTGGCAAGATCAGGATTGGAAATAGTAAACAATCAACTTAATAACTTGATAATTAAAGAATAATCAGAAATATGAAATCAAGAAAGATTATCTCTGGACAAACTGAAGAGCCTGGTAACCCTCTTGGCGGTGTTAGTATCTGGAGGGAACAGCAAACTCAATTAGAGGTATGGACAGTTGATTATGTACAATCAACTGATTAAATTGATGGAAATCATCATCATCATGACTGCGGAACAATTTCATTTGATAATAGAGTAATAACTTTTACTAATTGACTTTCTTTTTCTTTTTCTCTTTCTCTTCTATTCTGGTCATGATATTAACCATTTTATTGATGAACTACAAACAAATCAACAACATGGACACATCATAAACAATAATAATCATCATATCGAAAAAAAAACCATTTGTCTGATGCCAATTTTTTTCTTCGAACTTTTCATCTATTCTCTGGTTTTTATCATGGAAAATTATCTCCCATTGAACTATCACCTATGATGTAAAACATTGTTTCTTGAATACTGTAAACACTGACCACTGGCTATTATTTTCTCGATAATCACTGATTACCAGAAAAGTCTAAGACTAATGAGAAAACGTCGAGGAAACGGCGATTCTAATATTGAATCAGTGAATCAAAGTAAATCAAAAGCTAACATTAATTCAGTGAATTCAAGTAGCAGTAGCAACATAAATAGTAATTATAGCAACAGTAGTAACAGTAGCATAAGTAGTAATTGTAGTGTGAGTAGTAATCTTGATTCAAATAATAATATTAACCAATCAAATAATTTAACAATGAATAGAGTCGATGATTATGAGCATTCAGTGGCTGATGCAAGTGAATCAACAGATGATTCGAGTTCAATGGGAGATGATGTTGACAGAGCTCGTAAGAGAAACCGTTTATCTCCTATTGAGCCAACCAACTATATGAATGGTTCATCCTCGAATACTTATTCACATAACAGTCAAGGTCGTCGTAGAAAATCAACAGTTTCAGCTCGTGAACGTAATTTACGTCGACTAGAATCAAATGAACGAGAACGCCAACGAATGCATAGTCTCAATGATGCTTTTCAATCTCTTCGAGAAGTTATTCCTCATGTTAGATTGGAAAGGAAATTATCTAAAATTGAAACACTTACATTAGCCAAGAACTACATCATGGCGCTGACCAATGTTGTCTGTGAGATGAGAGGTGAGCAATTGCCTTACAAGGGACTTGTTCAATCACCTGATCCATCAGATGGAAGTCAGGATGCCAACAACAATGGACTCATTGAATGTCAAGCTATTGTTAAGAATGAACTTGCAATAATAACCAATTCAGCTGATTACAAGATTGAAACAGCAACAACAAACAATAATAATAATAATAATGATCATGAAAATCACCCTGAACAACAACAACAACAACAATCAATGGTGAATGGAATGGCCATTGAATCATTTAATTCAAGTATTGTAAATGAAACTGATTTGAATGATGTTGATGATCAAATTGGTGTTAATGTTGGAGATATAAGTCTTCTCAATGTATTTAAAGGATCATCACAATCAAAGTTGGTTAATTGTTTTTCTGGTTTACTTGCTGACGATAATTTGCTAACTAACGGTAAACTTGAGCCATCTTTAGATCATAAAACGATTCTCAATTTTTCTGATGATCTTTAACAATTTGATCATTTTAACTAATTAATTTAAGTTTCCTGTTTTTTATTACTTTTAAATCATCATAATGAATCCTATTAATTTGCTGCTTTGCCAGTAATCATTTGCCATTAGTTTAATTGTTTCCATCGTCACATCATCATCATCATCATCATCATCGTCCTAATCAACAACCTCTTCATTATCATCATCATCATCATCATTATCATTATGATTAACGTGTGTTTTTATGATTAATCCCTTGACAACCGTATACATGTAACAACGTATTCATCTCAGTGAATTACAGTTTAACCAGGAAAACAAATAATTGAATGATGAAAAATCTCAAAGACAGATTTCAATTGTTAACAATTTACCAAATCACCATTAATCACTTCAGCTTCATCATCTCAACTAATATAATCATCAAACTGTAATCACTCACTGACACACATAAACCAACATTACTTATCATAATAATAGACATTCTAGTTTAATGATTAACAATCACATTTTGAAACTGAACAATTAACTAGATCATCATTGCAATCATTCCCATTGATCAATTAATTTAATCATCTTCCAGATTCATTCTAGTTAATTCCTTAATTATTTAAATTATTCATTTGGTGCATTCCCTTTAATCACAATGAATCAAAATTATGTTAATAAAAATCAATCAATAATATTGAGCTCATATTAATCTAAGTAATTAGTTTGCATTAGAAAAAATCTAACCATCGATAATTGTTTATTTCCATTAAATTATTAAATTGTTAATCTTTTCAATTCCTCTTAATTATAATAATTATATCATGTACTATGTTTCAGATGAATTCTCAATCAGTTTAATTGATTGGACGAGAAATTTTTCCTTCGTTTTTGTTAAATCATTTCAATTCTGCTTCTAACTAATCACCATTAAGTTAATTCACTGCAATACTAAAGGATTAAACAATACCAAATATCCAAAATTTAATCCCCTTGATTGCTAAATTGATTTAATCACACTTTTAAGCGGATCTAAGGATTCGGTTGAGCGAAGGGCACATAAGCGAGAAGTTTTCGTTTCGAAGATGAACCTTCCATGTGAAATCAATAAAAGAATTTTCAACAATTAATGACGAATTGTGATTATCTCGAAAATTCGAAACCTTAACAATCAACATAATCTAATAAAAGAAACAGATCAAACTGCTTAATTATCAACAATTTATCTTTTTTTCGATAAATCAATAAATGGTTTAAAACGATAAGTTGATTAATTTAAATTCGCTTGTTTGACTTCACTAATTTGAATCTATTCCAAAATAGTTGAGATTAAATTTCTTTCGCGCTGAAGAAGAATTAATTCTAATGGGGAAAAGTTTAACTCTAAAGATGATTTCGAGGAAATGGAAACTCTATAAAAGGGAAGCTTTTCTTTCCAGCGCTCATTTTTACGGCGACTTCGTCTTATGTGTATCCTTTTCTCTTTTCCATGTATTCAATCGTAATTTCTTTTAAACTGTGATAAAATAAGTACCAAAGTGTTCCAATGGAAAAAGAAGGTTTCGAAACATGGTCCCTCGAAATTGGTGAAGTTTCGCCGAAAATATTCGAAGATTCTTTTGAATTGATTGCAGGAAAAATTTACGAGCCTCTTCAATACATTAAGATAAACCATGAGGATAACACTATTATCGATAAAGATGGAACCTCCAAAGATTCTGAACTCGAAAGCCCAAAAACCCAATCGGAAAAAGAACAAAAAAGATTTGGCGTTTTGCCATTCGAAGAACCACCTGAGCCACCCGATATAAATTCTTGTCTACTCAAAGAGATGGAAAAGATCTCATCTAAATCACGTCAATTTATCGAAGAAATTAACGGAACTTTAATAACAATCAAAGAATGGATTCATTCTCGAAGAGATAAACAACTTAACAAGAAATTGTAACTACAAAACAAGACTAAAAGACATAATAAAACGTTAATTTGATTGTAAACGAGTTAATTATATCAAATGGATTCTCATGAAATTAACCTGCAAGGTTCAACCATCATAGGAAATAAGTTTGAGTCCAATGAAAACAGAAACAAAAAAGTTTATTGAGATTAAATTAATCTGGTCAGGCGAATATGATTGAACAATAAATGATAATAAAAGTGTATGTAAACAGCCGCGAAAATTGAGTTTGAGTTTTTTTTAAATCATTTGCGTATCTTTGGCAAAAATTAACTTAATCACAACGATTGATTAGATAAATTTAACATTACCAACTCTATATTTCTATCTATTAATTTGCTTTTATCAATCAAGATGCTCAAATGAATCAAATAAAAGTACAAACTCACGGCTGAGTAACAAAGGATATTATTAAATAAAAATTAAAGGATAACAGTTTAAGTTAATTGGATAGTTTGATCACAATTAAGCATATTAAGGATATTCTTGTGATGATCTTAGTTTATTCTGAATTATGGTTCTCAGCTGATTGTTTAAGGCGAATCTTGTATTATACCTGTTGATCAGATCTATTGTTCAATCCATCTTCATCTTCTGATGGGTCAAATGAGTTTCATAATCATCTTCTTCATCAAGATCTTCCATCAGAGTCCAACATTGTTGACGATTCGGTGATAATGGTGGACATTTATTTACATTATCGTCGATGATAACAAATAAAACGAAACAAATATTTTGTAATTTGTTCATTTGTAAATTAGTTTTGCTTCTTTCATCAATTAGTCTTCGAATCTTTATATTAGTTAATTGTTGTGCTATTATTTTCTAAATAAGTGTATTTATCTTTCGTAATTATTATCGTTTCACTTTTATTGAATGGAAGCTGATATTTGATGTATTAATCTGGAATCTCAAAGGAAGAGACTTGAAGAAGGAGTTACCTGTTCATCTTCATTTTTTTATGATAATTTATTTCTTTTTTTAAATATCTTAATTTTATTGAATTGGATTATCGTTCTTGTGATTTAATTTTCGTATCAAATTTTAATAAGAAAGTTCGATTTTCAGCCGTTAGATATTCTGTTACTTTCCACTTTGGAAACTTGTCGACTAACGTTGTTAATTCGATTACCACGTTGTCCCATTTCCGTTCCGATACTTTGAGTCCCATCAGAAGTTGACTTTTTACGAAATTCAATGAATGTTGTGTTTCTGCCTTTGCAAATGTCCCAAAGAGTTTTCACCATCATCCTGAACGTATGTTCCTGAAACAAGTGATTTACAATAGTTAATTAAAAATTGACCTTTTCAATTAAAAACTTACCCTTTCATGACGAGAAACTTTTTTCGCCTTCCAAACGAACTCAATCCCCACGAACAAAGCGCCAATCGCTATTCCACAGACTAATACGATAAAAACACCACCCACATTAGCAACATCCAGAGCACTTGTTGCTGAATCAAGAACTTCGGGTGGACACTCTGCTTCTTCTGGGCTCTCCAAAGCTCGAATCTCATTTGGATAATCTTCGAACCAAGTTTTTCTCAGTGCATCAATACGACCTTGTTCTTGAAGCCTGAGAATCTCATTAGAAAAAATGGTTCTAAAGGGCGATCCTGGTCTCATGGCGATTCCATAACCTTTTTGATCTAAAAGTTCACCAACTTGAGTTAAATTACAATAACGATTTACATTATACATTATTGATAGTGATTCCATTAGGAAGGCATAATTTCCCTTGAGCACTCGACGCACCCCATCAGTGTTCGTCTCTGTATAAACGGGAGGGTCACCTGATTCCATGAATGCATACATGCGCTGGTAGGTAGTGTATGTTGAATTCTAATCGGTGAGAAAAGAGAATTACTCCAATGAGCGAATACGATCGGTTATGTAAATTCACTGTACCTGGAAAAACTTCTTCGTTGACCCCGTTTTCAAGCAGCCATAAGCAACTTTCGATTGCATCGCAAGATCTTCAGCATTTTCAATCGGAGCTTCCATTCTTGCGACTGTAAGAAAAGCAGCTAAATTAGCAGTATAAGAAGAGACCATAATCAGAGTGAAAAAAGACCAAGCTGAAGCCACTAATCGAGTTGAAATTGACCTACCAAAGAAAAGAAAATTGATGAAATAAGATCAATAGATTGCTACTAAAATTAACCAATTAACTCACTTTGGACCCAAATCTGAGCCTTGTTGCATAATAGATCCTAAACTGAACCACAAACAATTTCCAATTGAAAATGTATTCGTCAACTCTTCTGGTTCACCGTCACATGGATGATCATTAAGCCATTCATTCGGACTCAATCGAGCAACAATATACATTAAAAGACTGACACCGATAAAAGCCGTTGCGGTGTATAACCAAACTTCGAGCGAAAAAGGATCGAGAAAAGCCCAAAGGTTCAAAGGCGGAGCTCGAGGTTTACTATGTAAAATCGATATTCCCAGAGTGATAAATGGAATCGTAAAGTCAACACCCGTTTGTCTTTCGTGGGTAATCGTCAAGTCTGTTGTAGCCAGATCATGATTTTTATCCAACATTTCACCAATTAATCCAGACCAAGTTCCGTTCTTTTTATTTTTACTTCCGTAACCTTTTCCTGTGTAAATAGTTAATTCATAACCAGAAATTAAAAGATCTTCTTGTATTTGTCTAAGCAAATCGATACAAAATCCTTCATATTTATCAAATTCATCGCCAGTGATATTTACATAATCGGGCTTCTTCATTACATAAGGGATATTCTGAATAGAAAGAAAATTGAAATCAATCCATTTGTCTGTTAATCGAAAGAAATAATTAATCTGTTACCTCAACAACAATTAACTTCAGTTTTGTTGTTTTCAAATACTCAATAGCACTTTTTTCTTCTGCTTGAACTTCAGTGGTTATATTGATCCCAGAATCCGAACTCCATGAACCAATCTGCAAATAAAATTTAACGATTAGCTATTGATTCGTAATCCATTCGCTTCAAAACTCACCTCCAACCATTGACCTTCTTTGAGTCGGATTATTGATAAGAATAATTTTTCTCGATAACCTTGTTCATCAAAAGTTAATAATCCAGTTAATCCTGTCACCCCAACCTGTTGATGAAAAGTTACTGTTACAGCTCAAGTACAATAACTCATTTAAACTCATAAGTTTAGCAAATTTGAAGACAAAAACTAACCTTTTTCATTTGATTGACCAACGATGAACCTAAAATCCAGGTATCATTGAGACCACATGAAACTGATGGAGCAAAGATTTGATCAGTTATCTCGGACAATCCGACAAGAGATCGAGTAAATAAAGCAACAGCATCGTAGATCAAAGCTTTGTCAACCTGTACAATCAAAAAGTACGATCAACAAAAAGAAAGTTGACTTGAAATAACCTTTTTCTATTCTTACCAAAAACAAAGAGCGGGGAAAATTGTTCTTGTTTAACTGATTATAATTCAAACTAATTCTGCTCTTTCATTAGTAAGAATAAGCTACTGTCATAGTGAGTCTCATTATCTCCATTTTTATCATAATTTTCAAATTGCAGTCGAAATTTTGATCAACATTAATTATTACCGTTAATTTGACTTCCTCTGTCGAAGAATCATATCGACCAGTTTTCCATTCTTGGGCATTATAACGCATTTTGATTCTTCCATCAAACGCATCGAACATTCTAAATCCCGTGATATTGAAAGCGATTAGTTCAGGATCACTCAGATTCCAAAATTGTAAATCCTGATAAAAGAATGAAATTTAAAAATATTAGAACATGTAATCAAATATTCTATTCTATTGAATATTAATTCGTAACACTTACCAAATCGTTAAACATGTAACTGTAGTAAAAATCGAGCAGGGAAAATGATTTAAGCTAAAATTTAATAGTAAACTAACAATTAGAACTCAGAGTATTGAGAAATAGTTGATGAACGAACCTTCTCTAGGACAATCTCATAATTTTCGCTATTCACACTGACGATGAAATTTGAGTCACGATTTTTCATGACACTTTTGAATAAAGTTTCTGGCGGATTTGATTGTTCAAATTTATATTCTCTCACTTTGATCAACAAGCTATTCTCATATTTTGTGGTCATCGCCAGAGCATCTTTGATCTTAATTAAATCTGTTGCAATCAAATCGTTAGCAATTAATGATGAATCACAAAATCTCAAACAGACTTACTTTCATTAGAGTCAAATATTAAACTGAATGATTTCCATTCACTGTTATCAACAACATAATCTAAAATGGCTTTGTTCATCTTCTTGAGATCAGGATAAAGAGAAATTGAATAATCTGGTATATATGGTTGATGGACGAATGATTTAATTGTGTAAGGATAATCCGGTGCTGTGTGAAGTAAAGGAACACCAAGTCGGTCAGTTATCGATCTGATTATCCAAGCATTTACACCCGAATATGGATAAATAATGGCCCAAACACCAGAATCTAACAAACGACAAGCTGATTGACAAATTGACAGAACAAATTTAAAATATTGAAATGTCACATTAAATGGTGCTAATTACCTGCATTTGCAGTGCTCAAACTGTCACTGAGGTCGACATGTTCAACATGAGCTTCAATCTTTGACCCTTGAAGACCAATATTGTTGATCCAAACCGCGTGTTTAAATGCTAACTCTAAATCATCGTCTCCAGGTCTAATAATGGCTCCTGGTTAATGATTGATAACCATAAATCAGATGAAAAGAAAAGATAATTAAAATGTGATACTTACCGATTTTAATTGTGTCAGGTAAGTCGGAGGTAGTTAAACTTATCATATGAAAAATGAAGCCACAGATAAAAATTAAGTTCATCTTGAATATTTGATATCAGAGATGTGAGTTGAAACACGACTGAAAATTACTTTCGATGCGATTGTTGAGAAGTTGATTTAATTGGCTGATCTCAATTTTTGTCAAATTTTAACATTTTTAATAAATTAATGAAGATTTAATGAATTAGATAAAAAAAATGAGAAAAGAGATCTGATCCGATTTCGTGGAAATATCATGTAAACAAGAAGAAAGATTCTCATGATTATTTCTGTCTTTTTATATTTCTTGGCATTTTGCCTTTTCTCGTTCTTACAAAATGATTATTGCTCAATTAGAATTATCTCTTGCCATGGGTTAATTGTCGTTTACTTTTTCCTAGTTTCAAGTAATTAAGTTCGCAGCTGAGTCGAAAGGCAGGTTCGTGATTTTCTATGCGATCATTGAGATGGAAGCACATTTGCTTCTTGTTTTCAGGTTGAATCACATTTCCGATTCTCAACTTCGATCCTTTCATTTCATTGACTATGCAAAGATGCATTCGATTCAAAGTATTTGTAATTACCAATACTTTGAATCTGAGAATGAATAAGAATGAAGAACTTAAGTTCGAGACTTAGATAAGATAATGAAATGACCAGTCTCATCGTAATCGATTTGACCTTAACACTGGTGAAATACTCATTCTAATCAATAAAAAACAAACTTTCTGTCGAAAGTCTCTCTCTCTCTCTCTCTAAGATCGTCCATGTAAAAGAAGCTTCCTCATGTCCTCTTTTCTTATTAATAAACTAAATAAACAACTCAATTAGTTAGCTAAAGATTATTCGAACGATATTCAATTTGGTACATTAAACAATTAGCTCAAATAATCAGTTAATTGTTACGATGGAGAGAAAAAGAGTAATCCATTTGAATGACCCGCTGTTCTTTCCCGAGCCTTTGGTGGAGCTGATGCTTCATCTGATTCTATTTGTTGCTTAATTGTTTTGCTTTTGAGATGAAAACAAATATTTTGTAATTTGTTCATTTGTAAATTAGTTTTGTTTCTTTCATCAATTAGTCTTCGAATCTTTGTATTAGTTAATTGTTGTGCTATTATTTTCTAAATAAGTGTATTTATCTTTCGTAATTATTATCGTTTCACTTTTATTGAATGGAAGCTGATATTTGATGTATTAATCTGGAATCTCAAAGGAAGAGACTTGAAGAAGGAGTTACCTGTTCATCTTCATTTTTTTATGATAATTTATTTCTTTTTTTAAATATCTTAATTTTATTGAATTGGATTATCGTTACACTAGAAACGTTACAATCTTTGGTTTCCTGCTTGATTTTCTGTGATTTATTCTTGTTCTTTGTTGGAACTGTTGGCGATATTATTACTCATTTCAAATAGTCGCTTTTTTGGTTTGATTAGAAAATGAACCGTAATAGTGAATCAAATCAACTGACCAGTAATGGTGATTTGTCCAGTAAGTCTACTTGTAAACGTAACTGTACCAATAGTGGTGGTGGTGGTAAAGTGAGACAGTTAAAGACTGTATGTTTGAGTACAAGCAGTAATCCTGAATCAAGATTGGTTTTGGTTGTTGATGACACTCGATTTGTGATCGATAAATCTTCATTCGTTGAGCATCCTGACACTTTATTGGGAAGGATGTTTAGTCCTTTTACTGAATCTTCTGGTGCCTCTTCAATTACTCGGCCTAACGAGAAAGGTGAATATGAAGTGGCCGAAGGTATATCATCTCACTGTTTTAGAGCTATTCTTGTAAGTAATTAATCTTACCTCATATCAACTCAATCTCTTGATAATCATCTTCTAATCAACTGTTTTCTCTCCATTCTATCAATAGGAATTTTATAAATCTGGTGTCATTCGTTGTCCATCCAGTGTTCCTATCACCGAATTACGTGAAGCCTGTGATTATTTACTTATACCTTTCGATGCAGATACAATTAAATGTCAAAATCTCGGTAAATATAATTACCTGTTCTCAAAACTGGTTTCAATTAGTTTTTCAATATTCGACACAATAAGTATATCTCACCTTTCCATTTACAGGCGGATTACTTCATGAGATTAGCAATGAAGGAGCTAAAAGTCAATTCGAAAATTTCTTGGAAACTCTTCTATTTCCAGCTATGGTTTCTTCTGCTCAGGTACATCACTATTTCTGCTTATTCACGCTATTTCCGATTCTCTAATTGAATTCATGATTCTACGTTTCATTAATTTTAACAATTCATGTTTTTTTGTCAACATTGATTCTAATTATATCGTCTTTGTTTAATTTACAGAGAGGGGAACGAGAATGTCATATTGCTGTTCTCCTTGATGATGATATCGTTGAATGGGATGATGAGTATCCCCCTCAGATAGGACAGGAACATTGTCAAAGTAAGTGATTGATTAGAGGCGATTAGTTAATTGTTGAAAACAAAATCTTTACCAGTTAATTTGGATCAACAACTTTACATTTTTTCCCCTTTTTTTAACTTGTTCTTCTTTCAGCAATCTACTCTTCTGATTTACATCGTTTTTTCAAGTACATCGAGAATCGTGATGTTGCTAAGCAAATTCTACGAGATCGGGGTTTGAAAAAGATTCGACTTGGAATTGAAGGTCTGTATTCCAATTATTATCAAATCTTATTCTTCTGTGTACAAATACTTTAAGACTCTTGAAAAGATAAAATTCATTTTCAGTGTAATCAATGTTTTCTGTTTATTTTTCTTCTTCTTTTCTTAGGCTTTCCTACTCATGAAGAGAAAAGAAGATGGCGACCTGGAGCTCGACCTGAGGTTATTTATAATTACGTTCAACGGCCATTTGTCCGAATGTCTTGGGAAAAGGAAGAAGCCAAATCGAGACACGTTGATTTCCAATGTGTCAAATCAAAATCGATCACCAATCTTGCAGTCGATGGAGTTGATGGATCAGGTGAAGATAATGGTTCCAATAACAGCTCATGATTAATCAGCTCTCATTGTCTATTCTTAATTGTTTCATTAACGAAATGTCGAGTCACAGCACCAAATATATGTTGTTACGTTTTCTCGTTTCATTCAAGTTGACATCAGATTGAAATGATCGGAGAAACAAATAACCTCCGTTATCGACAACTGATTATCTTATCCATTCATCTCTTAATCATTTCTTCATATCCTGGAATCCTGGTGTAATATATTATCCAAAATTGGACTCGAACAATGTACCAAAATTTATTCTGATCACCAAAATCACTGCAAAAAAATAAGAAAATATTTTAATTTTCTTTTCGATCTCCTTTTTCTACTCAAAATGGTTGATTAATATTCAAGCACAATTAACTAAACAATCTTACAACTGATCGAAAAGGTGATCGTTAATACCAAAGGAGAGTTTCAATGGTAACTAATTGTATTTGTAGAGTTTAGAAATTTAAGAAACAAATATGAATATTGTTTATACCCAAGAAGGAAGATTAATTATCAATCTTTCGCAATCAATTTGGCAAATTGTAATTGTTTAATAAATCATATAAACAAAATGCTCATCTAATCATGAGCATTTATATTATCTGAAATATCAACAAACCCGATCCCAATGAATCCATTTTCTCGTTCACATTGAATCCATATTCCTACTCAACACTGAATTAATCAGTTAAATGAATTAATTGTCTTCTTTAGGTGATTAACCCCAAAAAAGAGCAGAAAAAGTAATTTAGACAACATTTAGTTTCTTCTCCCGCCGTTAGTTGAACATGAACCAGTTTCTCTTGAAATGTTTTCCATTCACAACTTTGTTTCCACTCAATCACCAAAATGTAATTTCTTTCATTTGTTTGGTTTTATTTATTTAATTTTAAATTTTATTCTTTAGCTAATCAATTATTCTCAATTAATATTTTTCTATTCTCAATTAACATCACTTGGTCTCTAATTAATCTACACTGTCCATAGATTAAGGTTTAACTCTCCACCATAAGGTAAGTTGCTTTATCTTTTTTTCACTCTGACTCTTCAAGTGTAAATTGTTGATTTGTTACCTTTTTGGTTGTTTTAATTATTTAGTCAATCTCTTGATTACTTTTTTTGATTGTTGATTTAATTCTCAGTCTGGTAGAATTTCTTCATTGGTTTATTTCTATCATTTGATATCTAATTTGTTCTTTTCTTTTGCCTTTTTTGTAGTTCTAAGTCAACAGTTTCCATTTTCTCCACCGATAACTGAGCCTTACCTGGAATCTTTTTAGTGAACACCATGTTTATGGATTATTTTTCTACATGAAAATAAACGTTACCAGAGATCAAAATTTAACCATTACTGTGATAAAACCGATCATCTTATTTATTCAACACAAATATAATCAGTTCAATAGAATATTCAATCTCAATGAAAGTTAAAGACTTGACCATGTCCAAGGTTTTTGTCCAACGTTTGGTGATCACTTTTGTTTGGTTTCAGCTTTTTCTGTTTGTAAATTGTTATAAAAGAGATCTATCTCTTGAAGCTGAACAGAAACAGTTGGACAATGAATTAGATAAAACTGGCCTTGGATTTGAATATTTAAATTATCAAAATCTAACGAAATTTATTCACCTTCTGGAATTACGTTATCCCACCTTGGTAAAAGTTTACAGTGTTGGCTCAAGTATTGAGAAACGGGAACTATGGGCGATGAAAATTACCAACACTCAAAAAAGGCCACTTGGTAAACCGATGTTTAAATATGTCGCCAACATGCACGGAGATGAGACCGTTGGTAGACAATTGTTGGTTCGTTTAGCTTGGCATTTGGTCACCAATTACAATAAAGACGATCGGGTGACTAAAATCATGGAATCAATTGAAACTCATCTTCTATTCTCAATGAATCCGGATGGGTTTGAGCGAGCAAAACTTGGTGAGTGCGATGGTGCTAACAAGGATAGTGGCCGAGAAAATGCCGCTGGTGTTGATCTTAATCGTGACTTTCCAGGTAAATATCTTAATTCGTCCTATTCTTTTTCTCCAAAAAGAGATGAAAAAAACGAGCTTCTCATCCGTTATACTCGCTATTTGAATCTCTTTTTCTATTTACTTTCTCTCACCTTTTTTCCTACTGTACATTTATCTTTCTTCCGTTATTTCCGCTTGTTAGTTTTTTAATTTGTTCTCTTTTATCTTTTACATACATAACAACAAAAAACCAACCAGATCAATTCAGCAACACACCTTTAGTTTCGGTTGATGAAATGGCAAGAGGAAGACAACCCGAAACTGTCGCTGTGATGGCTTGGATTGTCTCTAATCCGTTTGTACTTTCTGCTAATCTTCATGGAGGTTCAGTTGTTGCCAGTTATCCATTTGATTCATCATTTAGTCACAAAGAAACTGGTGAACTAAGTCTTTCCCCGGATAACAATATATTCACCCACCTCGCCTCCATCTACGCTTCACACCACCAAACCATGAGAAATGGAAATGTTTGCAAAGACGATGAGTTTCTCAACGGTACAACTAATGGAGCCTTTTGGTTTGATGTTGCAGGTAATTAAAGTAAATCGTCAATGTGATCAAACAAAAGAGAGAAAAAAACCAACAGAAATCTAAATTTACCGTTAAATGGAAAAAGAGACAAATCATCTCAATTTATTATTCGCTCAACAGTTTTGATGTCTTTCTACGTTTGATTTTTTTAATCACTGTCATGGTCAATCAATTAATTCATTTTATTGTGCATCTTATTGGTTCTATTTTCAGGCGGTATGCAAGACTTTAATTACATCTGGAGTAATTGTTATGAGATAACATTGGAACTATCATGTTGTAAATATCCAACAGCTTCACAATTGACAAATGAATGGAATCTTAATCAGGAACCTTTATTGACATTTATGGAACAGGTAATCAAAATTAATTGATGTTCATTAATGACAATTGTTATTTATCCCTCTTTTCCCCATTTTCATCAATGACAATTAACTGATAAAATGGTGAATGCTTACCTGGCATTTTTTGCTAATTGTTTCCTTTTTCCCCTGTTTTTCATGCAGACTCACATGGGAGTTAAGGGTGTTGTTAAAAACTCGGTGACAAATAAACCCGTTGAAAAAGCTTTTGTTAAAATACAAGGAATTAATCATAATGTTACAACAAATGCTCGAGGTGAATTCTGGAGATTAGCTGTAAATGGTACTTATAACATCACTTTTGAGGCGTTTGGGTATCAAGATAAAATGATATTCGATGTTGTTGTAAAAAATGAACTAAAATCAGCTAAATGGTTGGACGTTGATTTGGTTCCAATTTCGTCGAGCAAAGATATTTCTGAGAACAGTGTCGTTGAGAGCGATATAGTGGACACTAATTCCCGTCCTCCGATAAGACCGGTAAACACAACTGACTTTTCGAAAGATTTTGTTACACCTTACAATTTTTTTCATCACAATTACACCGAAACGACTAAATTTCTGCAATATTTTGCTAAAAATTATCCATCCTTGACTCGTCTCTACAGTATTGGTAAAAGTGTTGAAGGAAGAGATCTCTGGGTTCTAGAAATTAGCGATAATCCTGGAATTCATGAGCCAGGAGAACCCGAATTTAAATACATTGCAAATATTCATGGTAACGAAGTTGTTGGAAAGGAAATTCTCCTTCCATTTATTCAAAAACTACTCGAGAACTACGATCGAGATCAGAAGATTAAATATCTGGTTGACAACATTCGAATTCACATTTTACCTTCTCTTAATCCTGACGGGTACGAACGTTCAGTTGAAGGAGATTGTGAATCATTACATGGAAGAGAAAACTCTAGACAACAAGATTTAAATCGAAATTTTCCCGATCAGTACAAACCTTTTGCACGAGTTAATTTCCAACCCGAAACTGAAGCTGTTATCAAATGGATTCGAAGTTATCCTTTTGTACTTTCAGCGAGTTTACATGGTGGCTCTCTGGTTGCTAATTATCCATTCGATGGTAATTTAGATGAAATTGATCATGCTTACAGTAAAAGTCCAGATGACGATGTCTTCAGAAAACTGGCCTTAGTTTATTCAACGAAACACAAATCAATGTCCGATGGTCATCCTTGTAAAGAGGGTTGTGGTCCAATCTATGAATTTTTTGACAATGGTATCACTAATGGTGCTCAATGGTATGTCCTTTATGGAGGAATGCAAGACTTTAATTATATCAACACTAATTGTTTTGAGATTACACTCGAATTGGGCTGTCAAAAATTCCCGTATGCTGCTGATCTACCTCGATATTGGGACGATAATCGAGTCGCTTTAATCTCTTTCATGGAAGAAGTACTCAAAGGTGTTAAGGGTTTCGTCGTTGATTCAGATTCTAAACCAATTAGAAATGCAACAATTCACGTTGAAGGAATTAATCACAATATTAAATCTGCAGAAGATGGTGACTATTGGCGATTGTTGGTTCCAGGTCGTTACACACTCACCGTTAACGCTGAAGGGTAATAATTACTTTTTCCCTCAATTAAATCTACAATAAATTAACAATCTAATTATTTTCTTTACATTTAGTTATGAAAGTGCAACTGCAACTGTCGATGTGAACGATAATTTGGCTGCTGTTGTTAACTTTACTCTCGCAAAGGAAACTCATAAAGTGAGGAAAAAGCCCTCACCTAATTCCGGTAAATTCATCGTTGGTAAAACTGTTAATCTAAACGGTGAGCCCGTTTCAGGAGCAATAATTAAATCAATAAACGATGACACTATTGAGTACAAAACTGATGAGAATGGTAAATTTTCAATTCCATATTCTGATGGTGAATATGGTATTTCAGTGACAGCTGAAGGATATTTAAATGCTACGAAATCCATTTCAATTCAATATGGACAGAAGAGTGAATTGGTAATCGATTTGGTTAAAGATACTCGAGTCTATGGTTACCCAAGGCCCGTTTTCATCATCGTGGTTGGCTCATTTATCCTCTCTCTTTTAATTACCGTTATGTGTGCCTACAATTTTGCCTTATCGCGAAAATATGATAAATATAAATTCCGTCGTCTTGGTGAATCAACAAGTCTTTTTGATGATGATGACAGTGGATTTAAGAACGGTGTTGATCCAAGGGAATTTATTGACGGAAGTGAAACCGAATCAGAAGACGAACTTTATAATGTTCACTTGTGGAAAGATAAAGATCGAAATTCATGAAAATTCCATTGGACATAATCAAATAGCTATTTAATTACAACGAGAAGAAACAGAAAGCAATTTATCAAAGGAACAATCAAAATTTCATAATCTAATTATTTATATTTATAAGTATTGTTATATTGAACCACGAAATTAAAACAATTATGAAACAATTTATCGAAAACTGTGATAAGAAATTGCAATTTATCTGCTCTAATTGTTGCCCATCAAAAATAATCATCAAACACTCACAGCAATTAAAAGTATCGATTTTACAAACAACTTGATCACCAATATGATTAAATTTTGATTGTAACTTTGGTCGATTGGGAATCAACAAAATAAATTTCGTACAAATTCAATTGCGATTAGTAAACCAAATTAACTTTTCCCGTGAACTTAAATTAGATTCTTGAAATTTCTCGAGTTTTTGTCCTTTGACATCCGATGACCATTCAAATCAAACCAAGAAAACATAAAGAACATCCTGATTATTTCGATGAGTTAAAAAGTAAAAATCCTCATCCCAACAATCAAGTAAATTATCATTTACGATTATGATCATTTTAACTTCGAACTGCAAAAGTAAATTGCAACAATTGATTATTACAAATCATTTATACTTAGAAACTAATAGTTAATTGCAACCTTTTAAATCGATTGAGTAAGAATTAAAATGATGGATTAAAAATAGTGAAAATTCATCTTAAAATCGCGTTAAAATACAATAAAAACTTAAATCGCGAAACAATAACAATAACAATTAAAAAGATTGAAAAAAGTTTATAAAAAATTGTACGAAAAGAAAGAGAAAAGAAACTGGAAAAAAGAGAGAAAAATTTGCAGGGAAAGAGAAAAGAAAGACTAGTCTCATGGAAAAGAAAAGAATTGGAAGCGACATCTCGCGTCATACGGAGGAACCATTGCTGAGGTTTTCGTTGTTTGAGTCTGTTGTTACTCTTTGTTTGCTCTCTTACTGTTTCATGTTATTAATTTAATCATAAATTCTTTACCTTTGAAAAGTGTTGCATCTTATCGATCACATTATCCATTTAATTAATTGATTGTTTTCTTTTTACATTTTTGTTTTTCATTGGATTAATCAGTTAACACATTATCTTTACCATGGCTGATAAAAATGAAAACGAATATGAATTTGAATATACAAAGGTAAGTCTTTCTAATTCCGATTGTTTATTTTCCTTTTGCTTCTTTCATTGACTTACCCCTCCCTTTTTTGCCTTTTAATTATTATTCTTAATCATGATTCTGTTAGTTTATCAATTAGTTGATGTTTAATTGATTACCTTTTTCTGCTCTTTCTCACATTTCTCTTTCTCTACTCTCTTGGAATTATTTTTCTCTTTGTTTACTTGTTTGTTCCTTCCTTTTCTCTCTTTTGCTATCTCTTCCTTTAACATTCTTTTTTCTAATTTGGTTTAATATTCTTTTTTTATTGAATATTATAAGGTCACCAAAACAACTAAAGTAATCAGTGGACTGTCTCTTCTTTACGGCAAAGAATTGAAAGAATATGATAATATACCTATCGAAGATTTATTGAATCAATTAAGTGAAGAAGAGATAGAACAATTAATCAATGATGTCGATCCAGATGATTCACATATTCCACCTTCCTTAAGGTGTAGAGAGCAAACAAAGAAAGCGCCAACAGGACCTTTAAATAGAGAAAAATTGTTGGAATTTTTAAAAAATTTTGCTCTCAACCAGGAAGATTGGCCGGAAAATAAGCCCTTCCAACCCGGTGTTAAACGAGGTAAGATAATTAAATCAAGACTATTATTCGCTAACGATAGTTAATAGCTACTAAGTGTCTCCTAGTGTCTATATGCTGTGGGTTACTCTTGTTTTAAAAATAAACTGCTTTATTTTGCCTCTATGATGATATTCAAAGTCTTTATTGGTTAATTGCCAAACTAACTTAACATTTAATCCCTTCTCTTGTTGAATGTTCAGGTGCTGTTTGGAAACCCAAGGAAACACCTAAAGTTTCAGATGAGGAGACACGAATTATGTTGGACTTGGATGATGAATCAAGTGAAGCTCTGAAAAATGCCACTGAATCTGACCTGGTTGATCTCGCCGGTATTTTAGGTTTACATTCAATGTTGAACCAAGACCAGTTTTATGCTTCGGTCACCAACAAAGGTCAAGGATCAGAGGCCAAATTTGAGTCTATCGTGAAAGCAACAGTACCCAAGCGAGTGCCCAATCTACCAGACAATGCTACCGATGTTGGTAAAACAATGAAACAAGTCAGTGAAGATGATAAAAAGTTGCAGGAACTCAATTGGAATAACATTAAACACATACCAAGAGATTCATTCAAAAAATTATTCGAAGGTCTCAAGACAAACACTACCCTTACAACTTTAGACTTGGCCAATACAGGATTAACTGATGGTCCGACAGCGGTAATTAACTATTATCACTTCCTCACTAATTATCAATCAATATTCAAATTTACTTCAAGAGTAGATCAGCAAAAGATTAAATCTATTTAAAGTCAACAGCCAATTTATACACAATGTATTTTTTGCTATCGATCTAAAAATAGTTTCATTTCTTTTCTGTTGATTTTACATTTTTTCATTCATTCATTCATTCATATTCACTAATGATGACAATTACCTTTGTATTCTTATCATTTGCTTCAATTTATTATATGAAAACAAAGGTGTTGGTTGAAGCGCTCAAAGAAAACAAAACATTGACCTGTCTCAACTTGGAATCTAATTTCCTTTCTGGTTCCATGGTTAGAGATATTCTTGCAGCAATTAACGTTAATCAAGTTATTCGTGAATTTCGAGCCTCAAATCAAAGACCAGCTATTCTAGGTAATAGAATTGAGATGGAAATAACCAAATTGGTGGAAGCAAACAATTCACTGATTCGACTTGGTTTACATTTAGATGCTCCTGATGCTCGAACAAGAGTAACTCAACAAATACAGAAAAATACGGATGCTTGTGAGTCTAAAATTCACTTTCCATTTTACTCCCGCTGATTTTCCATCATCATTCTCATCACCATTTCATCACAACCTATTATCTATCTTTCCATCTCTCTTTCTCTCTCACTCTCTCTCTATCTTCATCTATCTCAGTTTTTTCAAGGAAACTTAAAGTTAAACAACTAACACATTCATAGTCTTGAGACTTGAGTTTTCAAATGAATAGCAAATTGATTATAACCACCAACTCACAAATTTAACCATCGCATACGCACATACGTAACCTCTTCACTCACGCATAACCGTGGCATTAGACCTTCAACTGTTAGAGGTTTTCATCTTATCATTTTTCTGATTAATTTTATAGCGAAATTGTTTATTCGAAAATGAATGTTCGATTTCGCTCTTTTCCTCATTTCATACATTCTTCAGGATTCAAGATCATATTAATCAGTCTTTTGACTAATTATTATTATATACTGAAATGATTAAGGAATCAAGCGAATCCTTGAAGAAAGAAATGAAACAACCAATTCTTTGATCATTAAACATATCAAGTGCTTTTTGATTGATGCCAATGTTTTCAGAACTTCCCTCTAACTCTCTGGGTTTTTTGCAGCTACTTCCCTTTTCAATATTAGCCCCTTACAAAGACTTAAAACTAATCAATATTAATCACCTTAACTTTTTGTTTTCAACTTCACATTCTCAAGTTAAGGTTTTTCCTTTCTTCAATACCCTCACTCCTTTCCCTCTCTCTCCTAACAATCCTGATGGAATGGTAATTAATTATAATGTAATACTTTTCATATAAATATGTTTTCTTCTGACCTATTTATCCTATTTCTACAGTGAGACTTCAAAGAATTGGATCTAAATCGACTATACCAAGCCAAGGCAAAGATTTAATCTCTGTGTGAAAACGCGGCTTCGAGGTGATATAAGATAATTTATTTGGTTGGTGGTTGAAGCATCCTAAGCATCTTTTTGTTTCATTTCATTTTCTCATCCCAAAGTATCAGACGAAATCATCCATCATTAAAGAAAAGCTGATGAAATAACTCGAATTGATATATTAATTATAATACCGGAAATTCGAGGTCTTTTTTGTTCTTTTTCTTCTCTCATCCTATTCTACTTTATATAATTTTCTCTTCACATGCTGTCATCATTGTCTATTCATCTGCTTTTCATCAACACGATGAATGCTCGTCTTGAGCCCACTGAGTATTTGGCCACCAGGACTTTCTTAAACATTCATCATGAAGATAATTGTAAAATTGTAACTACAAAAGGCGTAAATAAGAAAAGTCAATTTCCTGTTTGGACATAACCTGCTAAATCTCATGGTGTCGAGGGATAGCTAATTATTAATGATCTGATTATAATTTATCTACAGTAAGGCCTGTAAATTATACCCGAAAGCGATGAGATGTAATCCGGTTGATAACCTATTGAGCTTTTTCAATCCATTTGATTAGCAACAAGTTTTTTTTCTCATTTGTTTTCCTTTTCCTTTTCTCTTGACACATTCTATTTCTCTCTGTACTTATTGTATTATCTTCTTTCAGTTAATATGATAAACTCTTCAGTTTTCTTTTCTTTCCGAGACTGTATCATGTACACATCATGATCCTTGAGCTTATCTCAACCCGGTACAATTAAACAATAACATCAATGTTTATTTCCAATGTCAAATTATTGTGACGAAAAGTAATCAAAACCATTGAATAATTAACAATATTCAGGTTACTGTTTAATTAACTTAACTGCTTTCTTTTTTCTTTCTCTGCAAACCATATCCAATTAATTATCTTAACTTGTTATAATCAAATTGGCTTTTAACTTTCATCATTTATATCCGCACACCACAGTGATAATCAGGATTCCATCAAGACAATTAAGCCAAAATTAGTCAACCTCTTTAATTCTGTTGACAATTAACCAGGAAAATCTAAACCAATGTTCCTTTTGTTGGTTTCATCTCAATGAACAGGATAAAGTTTCTCTTCCAGTTGATTATGCAAATATGTTGTTAAATCAAATTCCGAGTTAATTGTTCACCGAGTTTGTGAAGATTGAATTACTTTGATAATTTTCTTCTTATAATGTGTAACCCGTTTCTCAACCTTATTCAAATGATCGGATGCAAAGAAAGCAAGAGTACCAATGGTCCCCACAATCGTCAAGATATAAATATGAGTATCCAGAGGAATGTGTTTAGAGTAATAAAAAGCGATGGCCGATGATAAGTTCTGGAAAAAGACGCAAATTGCAAATGGAGGTGAACTTTCTGCTCGATAAACGGACCCTAGAAAAGCGTTGATTTGGTTCTGGTAACAAGCATCGCCGAAGCCAATCAAGAAACTGCAGATTAAGGCTAAAATTAAACTAAAAGGAAAGACAATCATAATCAGGACTCGTTTACAAATTTTGGAATCGTAGTTGGAATACCTTGTATGGACTATATCGGGTTCGTCCGAGCCGTTGAGAGACACATGAAATTGGAGGTTGAAATACATGACAGCGAATGTGATTATATGAATACAATAACCAAGGAAAATTAAGAAATTGTTTTGTTTGCGTTTTTTGGCACTTCCGAACAATATTACTAAGAATCCACCAGCGATTTCACCAGCTCCTATTGGGAATTGTGGAGATGTAAATTGATTCACAATCAGCTTAATTGTTACCTGTCAAAGCTCCAGAGATTCCAGAAAATCTTTTGGGTGTTAAATTTGATCGATGTTTCGAGAAGGCAACAGACGCGTCGTAAACTCCACTGAAAAAGGTTCCTTCCAATCCTGTTGATTAGATGAATAAGATAATCATAGTGATTAAACAGTAATTCAATAAATTGATTGTCAAAGTTTACCTGTATAAATGAAGGCTAAAAAAAGTAGAATCATCTTCTTGCTTTTGACCAAATTCAATGTACTGCCTTTAATATGAAGTCAAAACAAGTGACTGATTGTTGTGAAAATGATCAATTGTTGTGTTGATTAAATTACTCACATAATATTTTCCAAGGTCCATTGTGAGTGGTTGATTGTGGTGAATCTGATTCTGGTTCTTTGAGTGCAAATAAGGCTAAAACACCAACGAGACTACAGACCGTTAAACATGTGAATGTGACATTTCGAGTGTATCGGTCAATTGTCCTTCGGTCTTCAAATCGGTGATAAACGATAATATTGCCCACTAAAAGACTGGTTTGATAAATTACCCAGAAGATTCCACTGTTTCTCATAATTGTTTCATCTCTACTGTTAATCGTTAACAAATTACCTTGAGCAGTCCATAGAACTTGGAAAATAAAACAGAGAAGACAATTAACTGCTGATTAACAATAGGAATCGTTGATTACAATTTACCCGCTTGTCCAACTCCAAGAGCAATTGAAGAGACCATTAAACCATAATAAAATGGAAAAATGTAAACTAAACCAGCTAAACTGAATCAAATCAATAAATGGCAACAATCAAATGATGATTAATGTTAATTGTCGACTCACCTCAACACTAATCCATGAACAATCATCGCTCTCCTCAGACCAAGAAAGTTAATCAACGAAGGAGAAATCCAACCAAACAGAGCATAAATCGCATAATTAACTCCAAGTAATTCATAGGCATTCCAGTCTTTACCACCCCACTCCTCCCTGTATTCACCGTTAACAGAGGCCACAGTGGGTTTCTTAATCACAATTTAACCGTCACAATTAAGTAAAACAAGAGACTAACAATTAACTTACCTCGATAAACATTGAAGTCCCATAAGAAGTGTAGATGAAGAAAAAGGCGATTCCAAGTAAACTTATATTCCAGAGAGCGATTCCTGATCTCTGTTGATTCTTGTGGTGCAAACCCAAGACAATTGCCAGATCAATGTCATCCATGTTTAATTGCATGTTCAACAATAATTAATTAATTACTGATGAATATTTTCCTCTCATTCTCTCCCTCTTAAACTTGACTCTCACTTGTTCAATCTTATGACAATTAAGCTACTACATCATACGTATCATTAGATTGATCATCTAATCCATTTCTTATTAATTATCGGCTATTAATTGTATTACTAATCAGAAACTGAATTAAAAGCAGCATTTTTATCTTGTTGTTATTGATTTCTATTTCTATGGAATTGAGTTTCTCTTTAATCAAGAATTATGGTTAATTAATGTACTTGATTGTTACAATAATAATCTTAGACTAACTTTTGTTAATCTTCTTGTAGTTCATTGTAATTTATCATTTTCCTTGACAACGTTAGAGTAATTAAAGGATTAGAAGACTTAATCAGGTTTAATTTCGGTAATTTAGTTGCAATCTAATAAACATTGAGTTGATTGTTTGTGATTAACTTTGATTGACAGGATGAAATAAAAGACTAATAAGATTTTAGTGGAAAATATTTTTACCTTGTCATCATAATAATCAAAAATAATCTTGTCACGATAACTATGATGATTTAATAATATTAAATCATCTCAACAATTAAAACATTTTAACCGCAATTGCCAAAAATTGTGGTTGCCAAGTTAATTTGTTTCTGGAATATAAATAACGAACTGTAAATGATTTGATCGCAATTGGCTCATAATCACAGTTGTGGTTAATTAATTGACTTATCAAGTTTCTAATTGTGATTATAATTTTCTGTGGACAATTAAATTAATCAAATTTCTGTAAATTACATTGTATCTTTATTATAAATCAAACAAGGATTTTAATTGAATATCAAAGATCCCATTTGTTTAGAATCACGAGTTTTGGTGACAATTCAAAAATCAAATGGTTTGAAATGAATTTGGATTCATTTATAAATCATTACAATTTCTCACATTAGAATCTCTCTTGATCTACAATATCCACTTTTGATATTTCACTTGCATAATCAAATGGATTAGTTACTGTGGTTTGATCGTAAATTGTTGTTGGTTGATTATCCGTAGATGTAATTGTTAATGATTCTTCATCAATCGATAGTCTCGAAGTTGTCATTGTTTGTGGGCGACTATCTATCATGGAGCTATTTGAAGAACTGCCGGAGAGATGATTTAATTGTGAATAGAAAAAGTCAATTATTGATTTAACTTTTTTCAATAGTTTGGCCATTTCTGCTTGAGGATCAGAATCACCATTGTAGCTGCTAAAGGCTGATTGTAATTTAATTTTCGTCAATGAGGCTGATAAATGCTGGAGATTATTAAAATTTTCATCGGTTTCCTTTTCTTGGATATCATATAAATAAAAATTAATCAGATTGTTGGTTTGATTGAGTGATAATTCATATGATTGATTATACAATCGTTCCAATATACTATCAAAACTTATTCCGAAATCAACCATCCCATAAGAGCCAAAATCGATTGGATAAAATTCACTAACCATAATAAATTGTTCAATAAAATATTTTGCTTTCTCAGAGCCATCCAAGTTGAAGTAACCAGCGTTTTCTGCAGCAATTAGTTGATTGCTGAGTAACTGTAAAGTTTTTTCAGCTAACTCAAATATATCACGTTTTGATTTGTCTAAATGTATCAATGAATTTTTGATTTTCTTAATCATTTGCTGACTGTTATCCATTCGAGAATGAAGGAAAGAGATGACCAATGGTGGACTGTATTGGTTGGCCATTTGTCGTAGAAACTTGGCCTCTTCTAACTGTGCCGATAGTGAGATTTCCGAACCTAAAAGTCAAGTTTAGTCACAGATTCATGAAAATCTCTCAAAAAGATCAATTTAAATCAAGACTTACCCATGAAAAGCATCATAATTATCAGTATTTTCATTCTGTTTGAATTTCCAGTCATTCGAATCACTAATTTAATCTGATCAACACAAATGTTTCACTGACATTAAACGAGAAACTTTGATTATCCTACTTATATGAATGCAATGAACCTCCAAGACTGTTAGATGATTGAATTACAATAAACAAATTTTCAATTTCTAAACTTGATATTGTAACAACTTTCTAGTTGAAACTTAAAACTAAAACTGATTAAGGTTAAGAATGAAGATAATCTTTATTAGCAAAGAGCTTAAAGTAAAAAGTGCAACTGCACTCGAGGATACACAAGATTATATTGCCCCCCGGGTCATAAACTAAGCTCCTTTTATCATCAGGTGGGAGTTCTCGTAGGGTCAAAGTTGGTGTTTAACTCACAAAGAGCTTTGATTGGTTAAAAATTAGGGTTGGTCAGTATAAGAAGCGTGACATTTTCCACCACTTCATCATTATTCACTCCGTGAAATTGTAGACAGTCTTCTGAATTTCCTCTTGTCCAAGTTTTCTTTGTTTATTCTCATTAACTTCAATCATGACTCGTCATCAAGTTAGTACTGGTGTTGTCAATTCTAGACCAACACCTCCAATTGCTGTTAAGTGTCCTCGTAAGGATTTTTCCCATTTGCGTTCAGTTTCACCTGAACAAAATAAACGTCCTCGATTGACCACCAATATTGAGCCAATACCTGATTCTCCTAATAAAGAAACTGCTCAATCTGCTGATGGAGAATATGAAATTAGTAGTATTGTGCGATCCCAACGAATTAAGGTAGATGGAAAATGGCAAAATGTTAGCGTCATTAAATGGAAGAATACGCTTAGTTTAAATGCTGATATAACCAGTGTTAAATCATCTACTTTAAGAGAAGTTCCTTATGGTCTTACAGCTGCTGATCGGAAGTTATTATGGTCTTCCAGTTTGACAATTGATCCTGAGCGTGATCCAGATAAATATTATTGTCAATATTGCGACAATCCTTTTACCAATAAAGGTAATGGTACTCGGCACGAAAAAAAGCGTTGTAAGTTTCCAGGAGCTCCGAATCATAATTGTATTGATTCTTGTGAACAACCATGTCCTGGTAAGGGTGTTTGGAGCTTAGCTCAAGATGATCGAGCTGGTAGAAAAATGCCAAGTCGGAAGAAAACATTAACATCGCACGACGAAGATACCGATATAGATGAAGGTGTCGAAGAGGAAGCTGAAGAAGCTCAAGAAGCTCAAGAAGCTGATGAAAGTGATGAAAGTGATGATAGTGATGATAGTGATGAAGAAACATCGGAGGAGGAAGATGGTGACAATAACTAACTTTTGAGAACGATCAAACTCATTCTTTTAACTTTTTCATTGAAATAAACTTTTTTTGAAAACAGTTCTTTTCAGAACTAAAAAAAAAATTGTTTAGAGAAAGAGTTTTGTAAACTTGCAATTGTTCAAGTTTTAATTTTTCAAGTTTTTCCTGGTAATTTTTAGACCATCAGTCAGATCTTAAATTATAGTTGCTTTGGTGAGTTATAATTGATCCAATGAGTTATAGTTGGTCCAATGAGGTATTCTTGATCCAATGAGTTATTCTTGATCCGGTGAGTTATAGTTGATCCAGTGAGTTATAGTTGATCCAATGAATTATTCTTGATCCGGTGAGTTATAGTTGATCCAGTGAGTTATAGTTGATCCAATGAGTTATTCTTGATCCGGTGAGTTATAGTTGATCCAGTGAGTTATTCTTGATCCGGTGAGTTATAGTTGATCCAGTGAGTTATAGTTGATCCAATGAATTATTCTTGATCCGGTGAGTTATAGTTGATCCAGTGAGTTATAGTTGATCCAATGAGTTATTCTTGATCCGGTGAGTTATAGTTGATCCAGTGAGTTATAGTTGATCCAATGAGTTATTCTTGATCCGGTGAGTTATAGTTGATCCAATGAGTTATTCTTGATCCGGTGAGTTATAGTTGTAGTCAATTATTGTTATTGTAAAAAAAAAATGATTACATTTTAGTTGGTTGATTATGATTGATGATGACAAAAAAAATGGTGCAATACAATTGTAATACAAGTAAATGACACAAAAAAGTGGACAATTATAAGCAAAAAAAATTAGAAGTAAAAATTTTGAAAAAGGTATACGATAGCTATTAAATAATAGCAGTTTCATCCTAGCACATACATTCGTTGAATATAATACCGTAAAGTGTAGAAAGTGCGTGAATAATAAAAAGAAAAGAAAAGAGAAGAGAAAAAAAGAAAAGAAAAGAGAAGAAACGGAAAAAAGAGAAAAGGATAGTAATACATAAGCAGAAGGAGGTTAATTATCAAAATGGATGTTGAACTGTTGTCATGATTTGTGTTTTCTTTAAAGGAAATCGACAAGTGAGTTGAACCATAAGTTTATCTGGATATTATTTCGATTGGCCATATTTTGGATTGCGACTTGAATCATTGGTAGTGATTTTCAACGACATAACTTTTCCAAATTTGTTTTTGTGAGGCCTTACTTTACATTTCGTGATGTTCGTTACATCATTGTGACAGTTTTTGATATGCCTTTCGTAATTTTTGTATTTCATGATGCCAGGACAACTTGGTGCAAATTTACATTTTAAAAGCTAGTTATTTAATTGTTGCCAAGATCTTGGGCCTTTAGATGGTAGAAAAGCTGGAGTTAATCGGCTTGTTGAACATTTTAGCGGGCAAGTGGGCTTATTACAGTTGATTGATTTATACGTATTCCAACAGTTGTCATATAGGATTGTTTTACAGTTTTGATGCGCATGGATTTTTGGATCTACTGAAAGATTTAGACAAATAACACAAATGTAATCCTTAATTGTTTGTTGGTCGCAGAATTGCGATTCCTCGGGTTGATTATCCATGTTTATTGTTTGAATTTCTCTTGCTACTGCATCTTCACTGGCACAATTAACACAAGGTCGTATAAGAGTACGAAATGGTTGATCAAGCTCAATAATAGACGGTGGAGGTGAATCTTCATCACCAAACATTAAATGTTCAAAGGTATTATTAACAATTGGCACTGGTACCCATTCGGTTGAATTGTTTGGTTGATACATTGTGTGTTGTTGCGTTTATATTTGTCACTTAACACTTCAGATGTTTAGTTCTTCACTATTACTCGTAGACTGGTTTCTTTGAATAGTCAGTCTACTTTATTTATTTCGGCTGAGGTGGGAGTGAACCCACTTTTGATTTTAACTCCTCCTTTTTTTTCACTAGTTTATTTGAAGGTATATGGTTGTTGAACATTTATTCTCACCCTTATCCTAGTGGAGGGAGCAGAATTTACACTAATTTGCATTTAAACGGACTTTCATTTTGGAATGTTGCAGTTGCTGATTTGATTTCTGTTTAACGATGGTGCAAATAATTAACCCTTTGGATATTTTATATGGTAATTGTGCTCGTATTAGTCGAGCCACTGAGTTATTGTACAATCGATGTGAAAGCGAATTAACTGATATTGGATGTTTTACTGAAGTCGTTAATCGTGAAGTTTACTCCAATTGTTATCAACAAAACGTGATAAATTCGCTTGACAATACTTGTTGTGCTTTGCTTTGTCGGGATAGTGATGGATTCGAGTTCCGAGCAACACATAAAATTAACTCTCATTGGATTGTGATTAAGACTCTTTGGTGTAATTTTAGATTGTTAATTGTCTTGGCTTATCTGTCACCAAATCAGAGTAAATTAAGTGATGACGATTTTCAATCCACCATTAATAGCATATTCGCTTTACGTGATACTCATCCCAAAGATGTTCTCATGCTTATAATGGGCGATTTTAATTCATACCATCCTTCTTGGTCACGTGAAAATTGTCAATCTCGACTTAAAATGAATAAAGGTAATTTTATTCAAGCACATGTAGAGGATCGACAAATGGTTGTACTGAACAGATTTCAGCCTAACTGGCAACGAGGAGATACTTCCACTGTAAATGATTTGGTGATTGCTTGTCCTGCTTTAGCTGCTGGTTTAAATCTTTGTGAAACTGGAGAACACTTAGATGGTTCGGACCATCTGATGATAAGACTACAATTTGTCGCTAAAAACATCGTTTCCTTTTTCGCACTGCGTGGTCTCGAGTTGAAACATTTACAGGAAAAGGATGGCGTTTTGGTTATCAAAGATAGTGAATCAACAGATACAGCTAGTGAATCAAGTGGTGAGAACAGAAATGTACCGACTGGAAGTGTACCAAACGTTGCTTCGGGTGTTCAGTATCCCGACTGTGGCTTTGCACCTGAATAATTATTAATAAAAATACTAAATAACTTTACAAAAAAAAATGATTAATGAGTCTATATGTATATATATTGTTTTTTTAAATTTCACTCGTTCCGGTTTTTAGATTGGATTTACGAAGTAACGGTCTTCGTCGCTTTTGTTCTTCTCTCGCTTCCGGTGGCTGAGTATCCATTTTCTGCTGTTTTAGTTTTATGAATCCAATTAACACGATAACAGCAATAACCAGAATGCTCGTGATTGTTAAATGTATTGTAGATACAACAGAACTAGTCGTTAGTTTAATTACATTCTTATCTGTTTCTGTATTAATAAGCTGATCCGTCTGTTTTATGGACGATAATAGCGGATCTAAAGAATGAGGATTGAAATGCATATTCAATCTGAAATTCCAGTCATTGCTAAACTTTATATAGCTTGTGGTTCTCATTGGTTGAGGGTTATATTGGTAATCATTTATTTGAAAACTGATATTGGCTGGAATTTCAAACACAAAGTCAGGGCACGGGTATGTTAAATTGAACATTTTTATCTGGAGATTTGGACAATAAACAAAATTAAAGTGCCTGACGTATTTTACCTGATAGTGACCGTCATGGATGTTTGGTCTTTTAAAACATTCTTGTTTTGTCCAAAGATTTTCAACGGATAGGTTGTAATGGATAGACAAGCAACGTAAATTATTGGGCGGAATATTAATTTGGTTATATTTTGTTACTAGAAATTTATCAACTTTAATGATACAGTCTTTCCGCTTGTCATAAAGTACCTCTTTTGGTCCTTGGTAATTGGTGACACAGGTGTGGCTACTATTTATCAGGGGATAGAGCTGGAAATTGTCTGAAACTAGCAGGTGGTTGTTTTTCTCAATTATCTTTGTTTCCAAATGAAATGTTAAC